ACTCTTATTGCTGAAGGAAGCTGCTGGTCATGGAATGTTGTATAGCCTTCTCCTTTTGCAGATGCTGCCCAGGGCTTAGAATGTGCACATTCAAGTACCAGAACCCATAGAGCACAAGATCCCCCCACTCTACCCGCGGCAATCCCAGGCTATGGGTAGCTCTCCTTAAACTCCCACAAAGTTGGACTGCCTTACTTAGCTCCACATGCAGACTACAAACTCCTTGGAGGCAAGAACCACTTGCACACAGTAAGTATATGCTGATTAATCAGCTGATTGATTGATAAAATAAAAGACCATTGAAAGAACTAGAAAATTCTTTCCTTTTTTCAATATTCATAAAGATGACAGTCAGCTCATTGGAGAGTTTCCCAAATCTATAGGGTCTCTCCAAAGTAATGCTAGCCTCTCCACCATTCCCTAAATCCTAGAAGCTCCCCTCCCGCACAAACCCTATTGGGTAGCCCAGGGCCAAATAGACTCCATGAGAAAACCAGGTTAGTCCAGGTTACAGTAACTATGGCAGCTAGATCAATTTGTGACATCTCTGCCAAGAAGGGCCTTGTGACAATGTAGTTGGTGGAGAATGGCAGAAGGGGTGTGATGAAGAGAACAGCAAAATGGAGACAGAATTAGTCCCAAATTATTAAAACCAACCCACAGAGTTACTGAGTAATAAATTGACTCAAGTCAGTAACAAAGACAAAATGAGTTCAGCCACTTTGAATTATCTGTTTAATTTCCACAAACATCTTGGTCATACATTTCTTTTTAAAATTTTTTATTTACAGCACCAATGAACATTTTTCACTTTTAAAGGTGTGCATATGTGTACACATTACTGGGGGGTTTCATGTGCAATTAGTAATGAGTTATTTAAACTTCATATCTCAGAGATTTAATAATTCCCCCAAATGTGACAATTATAGCTTGGCAAAATCGCCTATGAAGAGAAATGGAAGACTTTAGGCAACAGAACTCCAAAATACTGTAACATAACTTCAGACCTCCAGGAAGGTCTTGCAAATTACCCCCTTGAAAATTATCATCTCTTCTGGATTACTCCCATTAGAATTCAGAGCAGGTTCAGTGTCTCTGGCCTGGCTTTGAACCAAGAGGAGAGAGTTGATACATCTAGCAACATTCAAGAAAGTTTCATGTAAACAAAATGTCCAGAATAAAACATCTGAAAAGAGATGCTCCAGGAAATGACACACGTGCGTTAGCTAAATTCCAATTCATGAGAACATTTAGATTGCAGTGAGGATTATGGTCCAATTCAAGCTCCATTTGAGCAGCTAGTTTCCTGATTCAATTACTTCATTCTTACTTCATTCCTGTAGCTATTCACGTGCAAATACACTCAGAAGCACAAAGAGGAGACAGTTTATCTGATGAATGACAGAGCTACGGAAGAGGCACGTAGTGGATATTCATCACTCAATCTAAATTCGAAACCCAAATCAGGTCGTGTTTCCCCATTTTTTTCTAAACCAGTCTGTTGTTGTAGTCTTTAATCACAAGAGCGTGAAGATCTATTTAAAAGCAGGATAATTTTAAAGCAGGAAATGTATTTTGTCCTCCTGGAAAAAATGGATATGTTTTGGCAACGGATTAAGTTAGCCGTAAATGTCAAAGAATTTGTTTTAACATCTGAACTTATCATTAGCACTAAAGTGAGCTTGTCAATAACAAGAAACATCATGAAGTTCAAAATCGGTGGAGAATTAAACACCTTAACCCCAAGAATCAATTGTACTGATATTATCCAGTCTTAGCTTGGCGTGGGGTCATCAAATTGGGGATATTCATGAGTTGAAGAAATCATCACAGAATGGTGACAGCAATTGCTTTTTTCTTCGCTTCCTTCAGTGGTATAATGGCTGAACTGTATCATCAGATTTGTAAGGGCTTTTTCGTACAAATTATATTTTTTCTTTAAATGTCCAAAGTTCCTATGTAGAGACAACTGTAATTTTTATGAATAGTTTGATCTCGCCTTGAAAAATATTTTTTTACAGAGTGAATTCTGCAGAGTGGATTATATTCAAAGAATTATTGAGCTCTGGAAGTGCTTTCATCAACAATATCCTACAACTATCTCTAGGTTAAGTCAGTGGTTCGGAACTAGAGGCGAATTTGCCCCCAGGGGACGTGTGGCAATGTCTAGAGACAATTTTGGTTGTCACAACTTGTAGAGATGCATCCAGTGGGTAAAGGCCAGGGAAGCTGCTAAAACTCCTACAATGCACACAACAAGGAATTATCCAGTTCAAAAACATCAATAATGCCAAGATTAAGGAAGAATAACAAAAGCTCTTACTACCTCCCAGGGCAGCTGCCTTGTTATAATCCAGAATCTGCCTCAGTGGTTTCTTTGACATTCAGAGCACCCATTCCTTCTGAACTTTGGGGTTCCTGATTGACCCCCACTAGAGTCTGGCCAGCTGGTGGCAAAAAAAAAAAAATTGTAACTAAATATGGAGAACATTTTTAATTCTTCCTAAACAATGTCTCCCTATTTTATTGATATTTTATCAAAAAATCTGAAGGATAATATGTTTTTTTCTGTCAACAATGGAGCCTGGTAGCCCTATGGATATTCATAATGGCCAAACATCATGAAAAAAAAGTTAACCTCTATTTTCAAAAGTGAAGTTGAAAGTTGGAAAATTAAAGCAGACATAGGGCTTGCTAAAGCTGGTGCTGAAATAAAGTAGAAAGGACTCTATCAAAATGGAAAGACAGAGGGCAGTGGAAAATGCCAGCCCTGTCTTTCAGGTGAGCATACAGGATGGGTAGTCCTGACCTGACACTCAGAGGACGCCCCAGACTTTTTAAAAATTATTTTCAGTCCCTAAAAAAAAAGAGAGAATTTTCTGGAATTAGCCTAAGCACCCAGGAGCAGTAAACTGAGTGACAATATTTTTCTCATCACAGAGAAAAATAGCATTCAAATCAACTGTTCATCAGATGCTACTGCCACCAAGCAGGGCTGATTCAAAAGGCAAAAGAAAACTCCTGCATTTCCTTGGAAGGCTTAAAATGCAAGACAACTAAACAAAGAGTAAAACCCAAATAAAAACACCAGCCAGCAGGCATCACGGTGCCTGAGTGACAAATGCAACCACTTCCCCCAATACAAAAATATTGCACTTAATCAGCCTGTTTGGACATTATTAAATGCACTCACCAAACTGTCTTAAAAAGGTATTATTTCACATGGACTCTGCTCCATAATTTGGTATGTTCATAAATGCCCATCAAGATACTTTTCTGAAGTGAGATTTAACTATATTGTGATGAAGTGCCTTTTCCTTTCCAGAAAAATACTTTCGAGATTAAAGAACACTATTTGGAGGTAAGCGAATATGCATTCCTTTAGCCAGTGGCACAAAAACTATAAAATTATAATTTTTCCCTTTTAACAGAAGCAGAATGATGTGAAATCAAATGAGACCTTCAAATTTGGAAGTGAGAGACAAATTTCTTCTTTGGCTCCAGTTAAGGCGTCTCACCCAACATTTATCTAGGAGTATTTGGTCCATATATCCCTATGGTGAGTGTCACAGAGAATCCTCTGGTTTTTGTGAGTGCCATACTTTCAACGTTAAGAGCAAAATTTTTGTCTTATATCTTATCCTCTTTTAAGTTACACAATATATATAGCCTAGTTCAACGTACTCCTGGGATAAAAACATATGTGGGCATTTTTCTATTTACCTAGTTCGTGGCCAATTTAAACTCACATAATAAATTTTCAAGGAGTAAAAAAATTCCTATCCTACTGATTTTGGTTGCTTACTTATTTCAGCCTTTGAATTTAAGCCTAAGACACCTTTTTTAAAATGGCGTTTGTGCTGAAAAACGTGAGTGCTTTTTCCATTACCAATCCAGCATTTCTGATGAGTTCTATGCAGATTTTAAACAGGACTCAATGCTTAGAGCCTAAAAGATGATCATTTTCAGTTAGACTGGCAACCCATCAAAGAAGATTCTAGTTCCCTAGTGAGGGGCCTCTTATTTTCTCATAGCTATTTTGAGACTGTTCTAGTTAAAATATCGCTGCCTGGGGCTGGCCCAGTGGCATAGTAGTTAAGTTCATGTGCTCCACTTCGGAGGCCCTGGGTTTATGGGTTCGGATCCCAGGAGCGAACCTACACACTGCTCATCAAGACATGCTGTGGTGGCATGCCACATACGAAAAAACAGAGGAAGACTGGTACAGATGTTGGCTCAGCAACAATCTTCCTCAAGCAAAAAGAGGAAGATTGGCAACAGATGTTAGCTCAAGGCCAATCTTCCTTACCAAGAAAACAAGAAAAATATATCACTGCCTAAACAATTTGTTAAGTACACGACAGATGCTTCTCCAATACTAATATAGGTTGGTTATGGATCCAAACCAGATTCTAATCAATTTATTTGAACTTGGTAATGTCGGTCAAAAACATAAAAGCAAAGTGTTACCTCCTCAAAACACATTAAAGGCAGCAATTAAATTAATGCTCATTTCTCCCTTGTACATACACTTTCCCATCAAGTTACTAGTTGGCAACAATAATAAATACTTTAAAATATGTCTAATTAAAGAAAAGTCAATCTAGCTTATTATTTTGGCAGGAATGAATATTCAATGCCGTATATTCAATCCCAGGAATATACTCATTCTCTCCTGGTAAATGCTCATAGATCAATGTGATCATATAAAAGAAGATTCAAAGGAAATTTAGACAAATAAGTAAGTCATTATGAAGCAATAAATGAAGACAGTCCCAACTGGACTGACTTTAAAAAACAGTATATACGTGGGGCCTGCCCAGTGGCACAGCAATTAAGTTCGCACGCTTTGCTTTGGCAGCCCGGGGTACCCCAGTTCAGATCCCAGGCACGGACCTATGCACCGCTTATCAAGCCATGCTGTGGCAGATGTCCCACATATAAAATGGAGGAAGATGGGCACAGATGTTAGCTCAGGGCCACTCTTCCTCAGCAAAACGAGGCAGATTGGAGGTGGGTATTAGCTCAGGGCTAATCTTCCCCCCCCCAAAAAAAAAACAGTATATACACACTTGTGTCATATTTAAGGATGTAGAAATATTTCCACACTTCCAAGTGGGAAAAAAAATATTTTCTGTATTTAAACACTTGAAACACCCTATAGCTGACATTCAGTTCACAGCAGAAAGTAAATAGTAGTTTCTCTCCACCTCACGAAATGAAGAGGTAGTCAAAAAGCATTTCCTTCCAGTGGAATGGGGGAAAATATAGCTATTATGGTTCTTAATGTTCTTTGTTTTTTTACGTACTTGGCTATGACCTCACCTGAGAGTCAGCTAGGAGTTCTAATCAGTTTAAAACAAACACTACCTTGAATCCTTGTGTCCACAGCCATTGAGGCCCAGCCTTCAATGTCCCTGATCTATAGACTAGTGCCGTTTGCTTCCGAAAATAAATGTTCAAACTAAAACTGTAGAAGAGCAGCTTGAGACACCCAGGACAGTGCAAAGAGGTTATCCGTCACATCAAAATTAAGAGACATGTTCAACTAACATCCCAAACAGCCAACCTCTTACTGAACACAGAGCATGCACATTGTGAGTGGTCGGTGTCTACAACCCACAAAGCGCTTTCCCAAGCCAAGCCAGTAGTTTCAAAGAGTCTTGTCTATACAGTCTGTTTATGTGGGTACCAGATTAAAAATGGGTGCTGTTGACATAACATTGGTCCTCCTGAGTTTTGCTAAGAGCTTGTCCGTGCTCACTCAGAGAGCCGTCCAAAGATACTTCAATAGTCACTTCTGTGGTTTCTTGTCTCCCAAGGCTGTCACTTTGGTGTGTGTCTAGGGGGGGACCGCCATTGTGCTCAGCACAGCCATTGACATGGGCCAGAGGCAGAGGCCTAGGGGGACAACACAGTTGCTTCTCACAGCTCTTGGAGATGCAGGGTGAGCTGCAGAGCAACAGGTCCCCCTGCTCTGGAGGCTCCCTCACGTCCACCTTCTCAAACTGTACGGTCACGCTGTGGATTCCTGCCTCGTGGAAGATTTCTCGAATTTTGATGCTGGCATCCTGATAGTCCCCGTCTTTCTGAAACTTGATGTGCAGGGTGGCAATGATCTTTCCACTTACAAGCTCCCAGATGTGCACTTCATGTACACTGCTGATTCCGGGCACGTTGGAGAGTTTACTCACTAGAATAGAGAAGAGCGAACAATAGCCAAAGTGAGAGCTGTAAGTAACACATGGGACCACTCACCACAGGACAGATATGGACCCTTTAAGCAGTTTCACCAAAATGATGTATTTACTGAGAATAACAGGAAGAAAAATAGCTATACCTAGACAGGTACATTTTCCCATAATCTTCTTTCTCCTCTCTGAATTCCTACACTATACACTGTTAACCCATAAAAGGCAATTCAAGAAAATAAGTTTAACAACCAAAAAAATGCCCAGAGTTGTTGAGCTTACAAGAGAATGGACACCTTAATGGGCATATAAACTAGGATGCCTTTTTTTTTTTTTCCAGTTTTTTTTTTATTGAGTTATTGATAGGTTACAATCTCTTGAAATTTCAATTGTACATTAATGTTTGTCAGTCATGTTGTAAGTGCACCACTTCACCCTTTGTGCCCACCCCCCACCCCACCTTTCCCCTGGTATCCACTAAACTGTTCTTGGTCCATAGTTTTAAATTCCTCATATGAGTGGAGTCATACACAGATTATCTTTCTCTTGCTGGCTTATTTCACTTAACATAATTCTCTCAAGGTCCATCCATGTTATTGCAAACGGAATGATTTTGTTCTGTTTTGCAGCTGAGTAGTATTCCATTGTATATATGTACCACATCTTCTTTATTAAACTAGGATGCCTTTTTGAGAGGGGGTAACTTGGCAATATGAATCAAAAACTTATACCAGCAATTCTAGTACTAAGAATATAATCTAAAAGAAATAGCCAAATATTTATGTACAAGAATGGTTTGGGCAACAATCTTTGTATTAATGAAAAAATGGAAACAACAAGGAAATAGTTAAATCAGTTATATAATAGAATGTGATACAGCTGTTAACAAGTAAGTTGCATACTTAAGGATATGAGAAAAGGCATATAAGTATTTTTAGGAAAAAAAGCAAATAGCTAAACTGTATATATGGCATGAACTTTTTTTCTTTTTTTTTACAAAACGTCAGTGTATATACACACAAAAATTTTCTAAGGCAGATAAAGTCTTGTTTTATTGAATGTTTGGTACAAAAATATTAAGGGTGGTCATTTCTGGGTGATAAGATTATGAGAGATTTCTACTATTTGACTCTTCTGCATTTTCCATACTTTCTAAAATGAGGGTGTATTTGGAGAAATGGTATTGAATGGTGATTATGAGCAAAACCCCTGTAGACAGCTAGAGTTTGAATCCCAGTTTAGTCATCTACTACCTGCATGACCTTGGACAATTTACCTAGCTCCTCTCTGCCTCAGTTTCCTAAATTAGGAATAAGAATAACAGTACCTCACAGGATTATTTTAAGTATTAAAATGAGTTAATACAAGTAAAGTACTTAGAAAAAGCCCTAGCATGTAGTAAATGCCATGAAAGTGTTGCTATTCTTATTACTATTTTTAATATCTCTTTTTAAATATATATATTATTGTGTTAAAAGTCAATATAAGCCAGTATAGGTCACAAATTGTTTTGTATATGATTTATCTTGTTTCCTCAACTGAGAAACAAGCTCCTAGAAGGCAAAGACGATGCCATCATTCTGTACGTCACGGCTTCAGAGGAGCAAGTCTAGCCACAGCCAGACAATGTATTAAGAACAATTCAAAGCTAATTTCAGGTATTTGTCATGAAATAAGGTCTTTCAACTTTCAGCCTCATCGTGGACCTGGGCTCTAGTTCATGTTCACTGGCTCCCTGGTGAAGCAATGACAGACAGCACAAAAGCAAACATGCATGAAAGAGAGAGAGTTTGACCTTCTGTTTGAGCAAAGCAAAGAAACAGATTTCATTACTGAATGAGGTCATGAATGATGTGAATTTAAAACACGGCCCTTTTTACGGTGTTATAAGAGCCGTGGTGAGTTGCATGCTCATAAAAATCAATTAACTAGATAGCAGGATCTAGAATACGAAAGAATGATTTGTGTTTTCAGAAAAAGGACAATAAAAATCAAGTGCTTGGCAGAGTGCTCTGTTTGAGCTTAAATAAATCTTTGACATGAAGGTAAATACCCAGGAGTAGGTATTGACAAGTGCTACATTCTCAAAAATTTGCAGCTGAGTCAGAGAATCATGGGTTGCAAAGAACCTTTGATTCTTGGAGCCGTGAGGCATTTTACTAGGCTACAACACATGTGATGGATGTCTTTATTGCTTAGTGATTTTAAGTATTTCAGGATATATACGGCAAACACCACTCTGAAATGACGCTGGCCCTTCAGCCTGAAGAACATTAAGTGGGCAGTGGTTCTAGATCAGAATTCTCCGACTTACTCAGCTCTTCCATGTTGACTCCTTTGGGGACCATCTGCAGGAGAATAACAGCAGTCTCCTTGATGAGTGGGAAGGCAGATGACAAAATAATGATGACCATGACCACAGTCAGGCTGGGGTCAATGTAGCACTGCCAGTTACACGGGTCCTCAGTTTTCAGGGGACGCACATAGAATATGATGGCTGTGATGACCACAATCACTGACCCCAGGGCATCTCCCATCACATGCAAAAGTACACCTGCCAGAAAGAAAGAAAGACCATTAAAGCACAGATCCAAGTTGGGGAGCCATGCGACACTCAGTGACTCAGGTTCCCAAGTCTATGAACACCTGTTGCTATTTGTTTTCTTTTTGGTTAAAACAGCAAGATGGATGTGAATGAAAAAACAAATGGCAACTGCTTCACAGTTGCCCAGGCCACCATCCCAGGACCCAGAGAACCTAGAACAATCCAGGAGGATTCTGAGCTGCAGACGCCTGTGGGAAAAAGGACTGTGCTCATTCATAGTGCCACATGGCTGCCACCCGTCCAAGGGCACCAAGCTGGAACACAGAGGCTGTGCAAATGGTTTCTTTTTCTTTCAGACAAACGTCTGTGCTTTAAATTGCTTTAAACATTTTTAAGAAGAGAAGCAACTAAGATATGTCATGAGAGTGGTTCTTTTGATTCCTGCTCTTGCCTCTATCTAGATCCATTTTCCTTCCTTATACACATTTGCCTACTACTACCTTAGCTCGTGGTCATTTAAATCGCAATTTGTTTAAGAAGGCCTCAGAACAGTGACTCCAGCAGTGGTCCCACTGAATAGAGAACCATTTGTCACAATAAAATAAAATTAAAATTCTACAGATAATAACAAAAATTGTCAACGCCTATAATGAAGGGACCGTTTCGAAAGGTTTTGATTGTGATACAGATAACATGCAATCCTAGCAAAGAAGATCTGGTGTCCAGTTGTTTGTCAGCAAACAACACAGACTAAAGTGGGGTTTAGTGAACTAGGTGAAAGCTTTGTCAGAAGGATTATAAAATATAAACGCAAAGTATTTTTATGCAGAATGCAACACCAGAATCTTGCTATTCAAAGTATGGTTTGCAGACTAGCAGCATCAGAATCCCCTGGGAGCTTGTGAGAAATGCAGAATCTCGGGCCCCTCCTTGGATCTGTTGAATCCGAGTGTACATTTTAACAAGATCCCCGGGCGATTCAAAAGTTTCCAAGCCCTGCTCGAGAAGAAAGCATATAGATTAAGAAAGGTCTTCTTTGTCTCTCAAAGTATCCCACAGATTCACTCAGTAGAACTAATAATAATCCAAAATACTAACAACTCACTCATGGCAACGACTGAACAGTCTCCCTTGGGCTTTAGTCGAGCTAATTGCTCCTCTTGGCAACACTTCTAGGATTCTAAGCAGCATCGTAGGTAAAATAACATTCCGTAAACATACTAAAAAACAGGAATGAAAAGAACCCCCACATTTCCTTCTGGCTGAGTGTTTATTTATGGTAATAGAACCTTGGTTTACTAAATGCATTGAATGATCCCATTTTCCAATTCTGCGCCCCCTTTTCCCTCACCTCACCCCCAAAGGAGCTTCTTACTCCCCGGGACCTGTCCTGAGCCACAAAGGGAAACTCAGAATGTTCCCAAGAGTTGGTCTACATGACGTATTCCCACAGGAGGAACTGAAGGAGCTGAAGATCGAAGCTTTAACTCTCTTCAAGGCAGGACAAAATATTACCATAAAAATAGAAAGACCAAATAGTTCCCCCACACACTTGACATCACTTTCACTGCCTGAGACATGCGTTATTCTCTCAATGTTTCTGCATGTCAGCCTTGTTTCCTCCATTAGACTACAAGCAACATGAAGTTTACAATGCAGCTACTCAATACAACTGTATTTTATGGTTAGTAAAGTCATAACTCCATGAGACAGAGTAACTCTTGTCTTTTACTTAATAATAACTGTAATGCCAGCTGTCACCAGGCATGTTTTAAGTATGTTACATGTATTTACACATTAAGTCCTCTTAAGGACTCCCTAAGGTGGTTACTGTCTCCATTTTACAAATGAGGAATCTAAGTCACAGAGTAACTAAATGACTTGTCCAAGATCACACAGCCAGAAAGCGTTAGAGTGAGAATATAAGTCTGGGGAGTCTGACGAGAGAACCACTGCATTCTGCCTCATACAAATCCTAAGTTCCAATTTCAGGTTTTCCTTCTGAGAAATCTCACTACCTACCCCTAACAACTACATAAAATAGCTTTCAGATCTATTTTTCAATAATCCACAGTAAAAATCATATCTTGCATCCTAGCATACACATTGAAACAAATATTTCATGAAAAAATAAAACCTATCCTTACATATGACTTATTACCATTTTCTGTTCTATTTCATTCAGTTCTAGTTAATTTTCTAAATGTTGATCATACTCTAGTAAATTGATTTTATGAACCAAACTATCAAGACCTTCAGTTTGAAAAAGTACTTAAGGCATCATTTCACTAAATTCTTGAGATTGAATACGGCAATGTGTTTTCTGGCTTCTCATGCAAAGATGAAGAAGGCATTGTCATTATCCTCTGGGGACCACAGTCCATTGGCAGGATTCTGAGACAAGTGCATCAATAACCCCAAGGGGGAGAATTATTCCCTGTAAAGGGAAAGCTCCTCGAGAGGTGGGCAATGTGGGCAGGACTCTGAAGAGGAGACAGACTTCAACAGCAACAACGTTCCAGGCAGAGAATTCAAGGGAGGCTGCAGATGAGGACACGCTTGTCAGACAACGTGGGAGACAGGTGCGCTAAATGTGGAGTCATAGACCCGGACAGCCTTTATGAGCCACGGACCTTGTGAAAGTCAACCTCGCTAAGCAAGAAGATTCTCATCTGTGAAATGGGAATGATTATAACATCTGCCTCACTTCTCTCAGGGGCTTGTTCTGAAGAGCACGTGAAACAATGTCTGAAACCCTCTGAGAAGTAAGTGCGCAGAACTGATGACAATAATGGGCACCATTTGTTGAGTGGGTCCTCCGAGCTGTTCCAACCACTCATGTAACTCTCACAACACAGTGATGCTGATACTGTGATTATCTCCATTATACAGATAAGGAAACTGAAGCTCAAAGAGGTTAAGTTACTTGTCCAAGGTCACTCAGCTAGTACAAGGTAGAGGCAGAACTCAACCCAGATCTACCTGACTGAGCACTTCTCACCTAGCTCTAAGTGTGTGTTAAATGGTGGATGCAGGGGAGACCGTTAACGGGTGGCAGGAAGGTAAGGCTGTGGAAGGGTGAAGAGAAGGGCAGAAATGTCTAGAAAGGAGTGTTAGCACCAGAACAGCAAGCTTTTGAATGTCAGCAGTGTTAGGACCTTATTCTGGAGGCAGTACAGGTGTCTGAGCAGACTCTGATGCGATCACATCTGTGAATCAGAAAGACATATTGGGCAGTGCGATCGGAGAGGCAGAGATTGCCACTCGGTAGACAACTCAATCGCCTGGTTAGTCAGAATGCTCACAGGGTAGCTTTGCAAAGACGGGACACCTCAGCATTTGGCCCTCCCTTGCTGTCTCTAGATGAAAATAAAACTCAGAAGAAACTGGCATATAACATGAATTGGCCATTCGACATAAGCTGAAATTTGATGCATGTCCCGGCACTTGGAAAAGCCATCAATGCTGTTGACTTTATTGAATAACTGGAAACACGGTGCATTAGCACTGGGCATTAGCAAGTGGTTATGAAAGGATAAGAGACCTTTCTTATTGGGAAAAAAACAAAAATTAGAAAGAAACATCTCATCAAAGGAGATTAATTTTCGAACGACATCAAGATTGCTATTCATCTATTTATATTTATACCCAAATAGAAAGGGCTAATTGCCTTTTTTTTTTTGGTGAGGAAGATGCACCCTGAGCTAACATGCATTGCCAATCTTCCTCTTTTTTTGCTTGAGAAAGATTAGCCCTGAGCTAACATCTGTGCCGATCTTCCTCTGTTTTTTGTATGTCGGATGCCGCCACAGCATGACTGATAAGTGGAGTAGGTCTGTGCCCAGGATCTGAACCCACAAACCTGGGCCACTGAAGCAGAGTGTGCAGAATTTAAACCACTCAGCCATGGGGCCAGTCCCTAATTGTCTTTCTGACACTCCATTGCAACAGTTTTTAATGTATCATGTTTGATCCTATTAAATAAAATTGAGCTGAAATTTATATAATGTTACAAACCAATCTTACCTCAATTAAATAAATAAACAAATAAAATCAACCACTACAAAACACGTTGACGAGAATTTTTAAGGAGCCTGCTTTTACTACGCTTTGTGGTAGAAGATGGAGTGTGTGTCTTCGAAGACATTATTTTTACCTCACTGGAATAAGAGAACTAATAATGAAAATCAAGAAATGATTTTCATTCACAAGAATCCTTATTGTAGATCTGGGGGGACAGTCCTGCTTTCTAAAGCAGTGGCTTAAATGTCAGAAACGTCACCATTCAGTGGACGGTGGACACTGGAGCAGCAAGCCATCCTGCGTGGAGTCTAGAGGCAGTGTGCAATAATGGAAAGAGCTAGAAATGCGCAGCAGGAGCCCAGGATTCCAGCCTTGCCTCTGCTGCCAGCCAGGGGACTTGGGATGTCACCAGACTCTCTGGATTCTGTTCCCTCATCTGTAAAGTGAAGGGGTTGGGGTCCATTGTCCCTGAGGCCTTTCCAGCTCTAACATTCTGTGGTCCTTCCCCAGAATGTGGCTCCATGATGAGGACACATGACCCAAGGTGAAGCCAGCCTCACACTTAGCCCCAAATATGGAAAAGCCCCTGTTAGCCATCACCTGGGCACTCATCACAAGCAGCAGGAATGATCTGAGCTCACCTGATGGTGAGTGAGTAAGTAAGCAAGCTGAAGCATTGCAGGTGTGTACCCAGCAATTCCACTCACTCTCTGAATGACAGTAATGAGATTGTTACTCATACTAAATGACTCAATCGTGAATGGTACCCGGCACAGAGTACTAGGCATGCCATAAAAATGGTAGCTGGTTTCCTTCATGTGCCTGAGCACTTCACATGCTTTATCTCACAACCACCCCATGAAGTGGGTACTCTTATTATCCTCATTTTAAAGATGAGGGAATCGGAGGCTTAGAGAGGCTCCAGAACTTGCCCAAAGTCATATAGTCTTAAGGGGCAGAGCCAGGACCCAAACCCAGGCAGCTTGAGCCCAAATCTCAATCTCAGCCACTGCATTATTCACCTCTATTGGAAGCTAGAGGCGCACTTTTGTCAGGCCCTGTGGACCACAGGCCTCAGCATTTTACCACTGGCATACTTCTATCCAGGAGCTCCAACAGCTTTGACTAAAAATTAAGAAGATCATACAAGTTTCCCTAGGCTATGCTTCCCAAACAAAGTCACAATATCTACTGGGACCTATTCTTCATTCCTCTCTGCTTCTTTCCACTTACCTCTTCAGTTTCTCTGTAACATAACATAAGAATGAATAATTAACAATCTCACTTATACATGGAATCTAAAAAATAAAACCAAGCTCATAGCTACAGAGAACAGATTGGCGAGGAGTGGGGGGGTGGGCAAAGTGGGTGAAGGAGGTCAAAAGGTACAAACCTCCATTTATAAAATAAATAAGTCATCGGGATGTAACGCACAGCATAATCACTACAGCTAATAGTACTGTACTGTATCTTTGAAAGTTGCTAAGAAAGCAGATCTAAAAACTCTCATCACAAAAAAAAAATTAGAACTTTGTATGGTGACAGATATTAACTAGCCTTATTGTGAAGATCATTTCACAATATATACAAATATCAGATCATTACATTGTACACCTGAAACTAATATAATATGTTAATTATACCTCAATAATAAAAAAAGAATGAATAATTGACAGAACGTGCTTTGAACAAAGTGTGATGATAGTGAAGTCCATCTTAAAAACCTACAATATATATATTTTTTAACTGAACCTTAAAAAGGAAAGAAATTAAAAGATAATGATTTTTCATTACAGATTCTTTCCAAAAAGATTCACCACCAAGCTCTTTCGAAATTCCCCTATCGCGGTTAAATTTTTTAAAACTAATTCATTTAGAAATTTTGAGGAGCTTATGTGTTGTTGTTGTTGTTGTTGTTATTTTCTGATTTTCCCTATGGATCTATTCTGGGTATCACTTTGTAAAACAGATGTGAGACATTCAGAAATGAAGGTGCCTCCCACATTATGAGTTTTTCTTTCCGTTATTTCCATCTGAGCCCCAGGACAGCTTCGCCAAACCATCTAGAGGTAAAAGTCTGCATAATCTTTGTTGAAATTCTCAGTCAAGATTGGGGATTGACCCCTCTTGAATCACTCTGAAGCAAAGTCTGTGTCCAAGAAGCTGGAAAGGAGAGATGCTGTGGACAATGTTGGTGTCTGGTGAGAATCGCACCTCTGAACTCCCTGGGCTGACCTCTGCCCAGTTCTGTGACCTTGAGCACATGGTAGAAGGGATGCTAATGATGTGCGTTCCAGAGACCTCACCAGAACTCCCACTTTGGGGATGGAAGTGGAGATTCAAGTGAGCCACCAGACCCATCACAAAAGCAGATTTCTGGCAGAAATAACTGAGGCAATGAGGGTCATTCACCAGTGCCACCTTGGACAGCAGCCCAGCTACTCTTTTCTTGCCTTTCTCAAAATGAGATTCAATTAAAATAGGCTGCATTTTATGTAGCGATATCCAGAGCAGGGCAAAATCAAGTAAAATTGTATCATGCCACTGCTCTGTGACACTCTGGAGCAGGCAGCTTTTAGCAGGGACCCAACTGGAGCAAGGATAAATCATTAGCAACTAGCTTCTCCCTCTGAATCGATGCAATGATTAGGCAAGAGACTAGGGTCATAGTCTCTGCGTGTCACTGGCCTACTTTCTAACCCACCTTATGAAAAGGCAAACAGAAATGAAGAGGACAGCACAGTCCACATGTGCCACTGAAAAAGATTTCAAATGGACCCAAAGTCAATCCTACCTCTGATATTCAGGGCTTCGGACTTTTTCTGCTTTTTCACAGTCTCTTCTGGCTCATTCTGGGTGTTCAGGGAATCACCTGCATTCAAAGAAGAAACCTTGTGTTGTGTATAAGTTCTACAAACAAAAAAAACCAAAGGACTCAAAAAAAGTTTTGTTATTTTAAATTCCTCCTAGCTTATCAGACCCCTTATCTCTCCACACACACAGCCCAGAATGGTCTATTTTGGCCTGAAAACAAGCCATGTAATCCACCTTTGGACTTCATTCACACTTCCATTCAAGTTAAAAGAAAAAAGAGGCAAGTGGGAGCCCGCCTGCACCCCAAACCCATAACTCCCAAGGGGGCAGAAGGATGGACAGAAGGGGGAGGGAGAAAAATAAAGTGTAGATGGCATCTAATGAAAGGAGGAGGGGTGGCAGTGCTCCTGTTGACCAATAATAATAACTGATTTCCAAGGAAATCAATACTGATAAACAGAGAGAATGGGGTGGGGGCGGGGGGGAGCCTGAGGATCCGGGAGAAAGAAAAAAAAAAAGAAAGAAATCGTGGGGAATATGGTAAAATAGCAGAAGATAATTAAAGCTGGACTGCAGAGGAAACAGATTTAAAAAAAAAAAAAAAAAAGCAGACAGGAAGGAAAAAACAAGGCGTGGGGTGAAGAGGAAGGGACCAGGACAGGCAGGGGGGGAGGAGTTGGGGCGGGGAGGGAAGATGGAGAAGCGGTCCAGAGGATGCAACCGAAAGGCACCTGCTACGTTTGAGAACACGGTCGCCCCCTCCGCCTTCTTCCTTTCCACCGAAGCCCCGCGGAGGGTCACGACCGAGTCCCGGCCGGCGTGCCACCGGCCCTCTGTGCCCTGCAGACCCCCGAGAGCGCCGCTAGGGCTGCCCTGGGCCAGCTGCTCCTGATGCTGCTGCTGGCGGCGGCGGCGGCGGCGGCCACAGCAGGCGAACCAGGAGGCCCAGTCCTGGAAGATGAGCAGCCCCACCACGTTGACCGCCAGCCCCAGGGCGCCCACGATGAGCACCAGCTCGGCGTCGTCGATGCGCTCGGGCCTGGCCAGGCGCAGCATGGCCTCCACGAAGATGGTGAAGCAGAGCGCGGTGAGGAAGACGGCGTTGCTGAGCGCGCCCACCACCTCGGCGCGCGCGTAGCCGTAGGTGGCCTTGAAGTCCCCGCTGGGGCGCCGCGCGATGTAGCCGGCGGTCAGCCCGACGCACAGCGAGATCAGGTCCGACAGCATGTTGAAGGAGTCGGAGATCAGCGCGATGGAGTTGCCCAGGTAGCCCGAGACCAGCTCGGCCACGAAGAAGGCGACGGTGAGCACGAGCATGAAGAGCAGCCGGCACGTCTTGCCCGAGTAGCGCCCCATGTCCCCGCCACCGCCGGTCGCCCCGCGCCGCCGCAACAGGTGGGCGCAGGCGGGCGCCCCTGACTCAGCCGATGCCCGGTCCCCGCCTCCCGGCCCGGGCGGCCTGCGCTGGGCCGTTTATAAGGCGGCGGCAGAGCGCCCCCAGGCTCTGCACGGCCAGAGTCTAAAGGAGTGGCCGCGGCGGCGATATCTGAAGACCTTACGCCGCCTCCCGGGTCCAGTCCTCCGCCCTGGGCTCCCTGGGCGGGTGGCCACGGGCCTATGTCTGTCCTTCTAGGACAGAACTGGGCAGAGAGGGGAGCTGCTGAGAAAAGGGGGCGTGTCTGGATGTCGCCTCACGGACACAGCAGAGGTGGGAATCACCCAATGACCCCCGCTTCTCCAATCACTCGGATCGCCAATGCCCCAACGCCCTGACTGTACAGTCTCAGTGACGATGACTTTGACCGCTGTGAGCTGTATTCTCTGTGGACTTGGACACTTGTGCGTACGTGCCCAGGCGCTGCGTGCCTTACAGATTCCCCGTGAACCCGGGAAGGCCCTGGAGCGCTAACCCAGCCAACCCTGCCCTCCAGGGTGTTTCCTGCTGTCCATTTCCTGAAGTTTGGGCAGATTCCTCCCTCAGCACTCCCACTCCACGACCACCTATGCAATGGCTATTTTACCCTCTCTTCTTGCTCACAGCCTTCGGAAGGGCACATCGTTTCTGTCACCTCCCCACCTGCCATGTCACAGTATCGGCTCAGTCCCCCATCTCTAGGATCTTCACTCACAAGGCCTCCTTCCCGGAGTGAACTGCAGGCAGCCCTGGAGGAGAGCGCACATCACGCTTTTGTAAGCATGACATTCCCACCCAGCACTCAGAAATGCATTTTCTCTATGGTGGACACACGTCGTTGGCCACCAGAGAAGCCAGGGCAGGCCTCCTCTGTGTGCTTGTCTCCTTCTCCATTGGAGAGAATATTCTGCTCACCCCCATGTACCCCTGACAGCATGACCTGATATTCCCAGTTCAGTCAACTGACCTACATGGAGGTTTATTCCAAATAGAGCCTTTCATGTTGACAACAGGCTGTGTTCCAAGTGGAAGTTGTCCAGAAGAGAACTGCCTTCAGGACCCTGGGAGAGGCCCGGGACAGCCCCCCAGGAAGAAGGGAGTTTGCTGCTGCTCAGTTCAGGGAGGGGGCGGGGAGCCCTTGCAGGTTTCTTCACGGCTTATTTTTGTTTTATACGGTTGTCTCACTCCAAAAAGGATCTGAAGCTGATCTCTATTCTCCTCCCCCATCCCCAATCCCTGAACTTTAGCCATTCCTGAAAAAACACATCTGTTTTTGGCTTGGAAATGAATAAAAATGTCTCGCTCCAAAAAAGTCACAGAATCCATCAGCCGAAAGTTCTGACTCTAGCCCATTTATTGCCTTAGCCTTGTAAAATGTGATCTTGACCTTCAGTGATCAGACAAGGTCCTTAATCAAGCTAAAATATCCTTGATCTGAGGGTGCCACCTGAGCCTGTTAAGCATTCCCTGCCCGCCTCCAGGAAAATATCTCTACACAGAGAACTTGAGGAAATTGATCATTTAAAATATTCTCTAAAAATTAGTACTAAAATGATCAATAATTTGAAAGAAGTAAGGAGATACAGGCTGATGAAAGTTTCAGTGCTGTGTGGGCTTGTGCTAATTCCTTAATTGTCTGGGTTTACAGTAGTGATTTTCACTACTGTAAAAGGGAATAAGCATTTAATCCGCATACTGTTGTGAGGATTAAATGGGTTAATGAGTGTAAAGTGATTATAACAGTGTCTGGCACATATTAAGCACTCAATAAATGTTAGTTGCATGCTTAAAAAAAATAGAGGGCCTGGCCCAGTCGTGTAGTGGTTAAGTTCATGCATTCCACTTTGGCAGCCCGAGTTTGCAGGTTCAGATCCTGGGTGTGGACCTAGCACCACTCATCAAGCCATGCTGTGGTGGCATCCCACATACAAAATAGAGGAAGATTGGCACAGATGTTAGATTGGGGCCAATCTTTCTCACCAAAGGAAAAAAGAAAGAAAGCAGAAAGGAAGAAAAAAGGCGTGTGGAGTGAACAGGAAGAGATGGGGTGGGAGGAGGAGGGAAGGGCAAAGTTGTCCAAAGGTCCAATATTATCATTAGTGTATTAGTATTAGTATACTGGTATTACAGCACATGCATGACAGACTTACCCTCGAACCAGAGATGACACACTCTAATACAAGAGATGCCCCAGAACACTGCTCCCAGCCTAGTCTCTGGCTTATGCTGTCTTCAAACTATGAAACCTCTGAAACTTGTAACATATGACAGCAAGCAAAGCAGTCACAATAAGAGAATTTTGGAAGTCTCCTTTTGGAAATCACTTACAGTCTAACAGAGTCCCTGATGAGTGCATTTCTTTGTCATTCACAACTGAAAGAAAAAGCTGAGGTCAGCAGAAATCTATCACTCATGCCAAGTCATTCTCCTTAGCGAGGGCAGATAACAAGAATTATGTCACTGCCCCCGGAGGACAGTTGATAGAACTAGGAAGCCAGTGGCTGAGGAAGCAGAGGAGGGAGCTGACAGGGTCCAAGGAACTGCCCAGGGCTAGTTCCTCCCTTTAAGAAACGCTAAGGGTGTCAACAAAATGCGCTTCAGAAAAATGTGTTGATTAACTACAATTATATATATATATACAGTTTATATATATATACATAGGTTATACGTATATAATCTGTTAACTGACAAAAATTTAGACTGCATCATCTACATGGCTGTAAATGATGGGGCTTCAGTAGCTTTTGTTGACTGAGCGCTGACTCTCTGCCCAGCCCTGTGCTGAGCACTTTATGGGCATCATCTCATTTCATCCTCATAATAGCCCCATAAAATAAGGACTGTTTTATAGGTGAGGCATCTAAAACCCAGAGATTTTAAGTAACTTGCCCAAGATCACACAGTCTGGAAATGATAGAATCAAGAGCTGATCTAGGCATCAAATTTTAGAGTGTACATTCTTTGCCCCCACGTTATACTAATTTGATCATTTTTAACACTTTTGTTCTAAACAAATAATTGTATGCATGTGTGTGTGTGTGTGTGTGTGTGTGTGTGAGAGGAAGATTGGCCCTGTGCTACGATCTGTGCCAGTCTTCCTCTATTTTATGTGGGACGCCCCCACAGCACGACTGGAGGAGCAATATGTAGGTCTGCACCGGGATTCGAACCTGTGAACCCTGGAGCCACCAAAGGGGAGCATGGAAACTTAACCACTATGCCACCAGGCAGCCCCAGAATTTTTTTTAAGTTCAGTTTTTACAGGTGCAGAACTCAGTGTGCCACCATCCATAAAGTCAGATTATGACACTAAAAGTTCTTTCTACACTGGTGTTTGACTCAGAAACTAACAAACCATTATTGTTTCAGAAATTGAAAAAGCAGCTGTTTTTGTTTTCATTTTTTAGTTCTACTTGACAAGAGAAGGTGCTCCCTTCAGGGAAGAGAGTGGACATCTTGTCCAAGGCACCAAATTCTTATTCAAAAGAAGAGGTAGCTCTTTTTCCCCGTAGCAACTGCCTCTAGATTTTAAATATGTCATCAAAAGATGGAGACTTCACCATCAGCCCAGGTCCAAAAGGGGATCGCTCCTCCAGATAGCTGAGGAATCTTGGGTACAAACTCAGTTCTTCATCAGTGAATTTATAGAATATATATATTTGTAACACTTCGGCTATAGAAAGGTACTGTTTGTACCCCAAAAGTCTGCATTTTATCATTCAAAGCTTTTCAGAATACATTAAATTTAAGCGGTTCTTGACTTGAGGTGACCACTATTTTTTTATTGATGGAGGCATAAGATGTGAAAAAGAGAAAAACCAGGCAGTGCTCAGCACGACTTCGAATGGGCTGTTGCTGGGGGACCTACTCAGCAGCACTGTGAGTTGCAGCTCTGAGATTACCTTAGAGCTGCGCCCATCAACCTGCCAAGCGGCACCTACATCATTTCTCCGAAATGCCACATATTCTTGCAGCAAAGTGGTGTCTGCTCCTAGCACCAGCCCAGGAAGTGGTCAGAACACAAGCCTCGCCATCATATCAAATAATACAACTTGCTTATTGAGAAAAGACTCGACTCTGAAAAATTCTAAATTTGCACTCAGTTTAAGAAAACTGGAAAGGCAGAATAGCAGAGCAGTTAATAATTTGAGCTTTGGAGTCAGGCGGACTTGGAACCAATTTAGGGAGGGGGAAATATTTCCCTTCACCAAAGGATTCACATAAGAGTTACTTTTAGAAAACGATAGACATTTAAGGATTTGTTTGCAACGTAATCTTAGGAGGGGTGAAACTTATGCAGACATAAGATAAAACATTTTCGAGTTCCTGCAACTGGAGGGGAGTTATGGTCCGAATGTCTGTGTCCCCTCTAAATTCATAGATTGAAATCCTAATCCCCACACAGGATGGTATGAGGAGGCGGGGCCTTTGGAAGATGTTAGGTCATGAGGTGGAACCCTCACTAATGGGATTTGTGCTCTTACAGGAGACCCCAGAGAGCTCCCTAGCCCCTTCTGCCATGTGAGGACACAGCAAAAAGGCTCTGCGTATGAACCCAGAAAAGAGTTCTCACCTAACTCTGCTGGCACCCTGATCCCAGACATCCAGCCTCCACAACCGTGGGCAATAAATCTCTGCTGTTTATAAGCCACTCAGTCTTAGCCAGACAGACTAAGCTAGGAAGTTCAAATTACAATTCTTCAACATATACAAAGTACAGGAACCCAGGTTACCAACAGTTGAGTACAGGGGTGTAAAAGAATGACATTGCTTTTATGTCATACCAGGGACCATGGGTTGGGGCTGCTTGATACATTTAGCAGTGACGGGGCCATGTTATTCGGGCTCAGCTTGTCTTTGCGAGCACTGCAGTTCTGGTCTGTGTGCTTCTTACCATCTCCAGATCCCAAGGGCACACCAGACCCTCACTCAAGGGGAAACGCTATGGGTGAGGTTTGGAGAGAACAAGCAGGTGAAAGGGGGTATGGCTACTGGGAAGAGGAGGAAAGGAGTAGAGGAAGAACTGGGAATATAATAAGCACTTATCAGCCCAAATTCCTCATCACTTATGATAGCATTTGGAGTGGCGTTCCTCCTGCTTGGTGAATAGGAGGAAAAAAATTAGCTTTTGGACCATTTCCAATTCAAATGGAAGCAAAAAGATCTAGAAGTCCTGAGAAACAGGGGGACTCCCCTTTGACATTGATTCTAAACCTGATAATAGTTTTTAGCTATAAGCTAAGTCCTGTATCATTTAATAATTTACAAAAAGCATTCACATGTGCTGTTTAATGCCATCAGAAACAATCCCACACAAACAGCAAATTTCTCCACTGCTAGATTCACCTTAAGTTTTAGACTATATGAAAATGAGAAGGCCGTTTGCCAAAGAAATTATGGGAATAATTGGGGCATAGGATGAGTTAAAATAGAACCTATAAATAAATACCTTTACCTTTATCTGCCAAAGGCACTGGTTGAATGCTCAGTGTTCTGTAGTGGAGACATGTAGGTTTGGAGCCACTCGGATCTGGGATCCGATCCTGGCTCTCTCAGTTACAGGCAGCTGGGCAAGTCACGCCACTTCTCTGCGTCTATGTCCTCAGCTATAATCTGGAGGTAGAGATGTCACTGTCTCACACAGCAGTTTTGAGAATGAAAGGAGAGAGTACGGTGGGAGGCCTTTCATGGTGCCTTCAGTAGATAATCACCAAATAGTGGCTCCTCTCCTTCACATCTGGCTGTCATCATTCCCAGAACTGTTGTTGACTTCTAGAAGGTAACATGGTGGAATCTCCTTCACAGCTATTTAGATTACTCTATTGTTTATAAGATCGTCTATTTCCCCTTGGTTCAAATACTCTAATTAGCTTGGAAGTCATTAGCTATTGATTAAGCAAGTGTATTACAAATGTAAAATACTTATTAACAAAATACTTTGTGAATATAAAAATATTTAAAATAAAATATTTTACAAATCTAAAATTCCAAACTTCTCCACTATCATTGCTATATTTCTCCGCTGTCATATGCTATCCATCATGACCTTACCGTCTATTACGGTACAATAGAGGACTAGAGAGAATCAGGGTAAGTGGACTGGGTGACATAACTTTATTACCATCACAGAATGAGGGGCTGTGTTGAATATTGACATGAGGTCTGGAGGACAACTAAGATTCTTGACCTCTGACACTAAATTATTGTATAACTTAGATCAGTCACTAAATTTCTGGCCCTTAGTTTCCTAATCTGTAAAACACAAATAAGAACTTCATACTACTTAATGCATATAGTTTTGGGGGGTTTCTTTGAGGAAGATTAGCCCTGAGCTAATATCTGCTGCCAAGCCTCCTCTTTTCTTTCTTTCTTTCTTTTTTTTTCTTTTTGCAGAGGAAGACTGGCCCTGAGCTAACATCCGTGCCCATCTTCCTCTACTTTATATGTGGGATGCCTACCACAGCATGGCTTGATGAGCAGTGCATAGATTCACACCCGGGATCTGAACCGGCGAACCCCAGGCTGCCAAAGTGGAACGTGCGAACTTAACCGCTGCACCACCAGGCTGGCCCCAATGCATATAGTTTTGAACATCAAATAAGACAGTGAAGGTACAAATATACAGACCAACAAAAGGCATTGTTATTGTTATAACAATCAACATGTTGTATCATGTGTGTATCAATACATGGATTGAACTTATATATCAACATGAGTTCTAGAAAGCCAGCACTGTATTTGTAACCA